GCCGATGCCTCCGTCGCCTGGCTGGAGTGGCCGCGGGGGAGTCTGGAGTCGGGCGGCCGCTGGTGGGAGCCGCGGGTGCCCGGGCCGAGATTGGGGGGGCAAGGCGGGCGACAGAAGGCCGATGCCTCCGTCGCCCGGCCCTCTACAGAATCCACCCCCCAAACCTCCAGGTATTTCCCTCCTTAGAGCTGGCAACCCTACATTCCCCTCAGTGCCTGTTGGTAGGCAACTAAGCTTGGTCCTGTCACCTACTTTGGCCTTTGGGAGAAAACACATTGGGGCCAATCCTGATAGGGTTGCCAACTCCAGAAGGGAAATTCCTGGAGACTTGAGGGATGGAGCCTGAAGAGGGTGAGGTTTGAGGAGGGGTGGGACCTCAGACAGGTACACTGCCATAGACTCCACCCTCCAAACCAGTCAGTCTCACATAGGGAACCATTGTTGCCAATCTCCAGGTGAGGGCTGGAGAGCACTCAGTATTACAACTGCTCTGCAGAAGGGAGGGCAGAAGTCAGCTGAAGTCAAAGGGGCAGATAATGGTAGGTTGGTGGCTAGCTGGGAAGGAGATGGGGTTGCCAACTACATGCTGACAAATTCCTGGGGATTTGAGGGGTGGAGCCTGGAAAGGGTGGGGTTTGCAGAGGGGTGGGACCTCAGACAGGTAGAATGCCATAGACTCCACCCTCCAAACCAGCCATTTTGTCCTGGGTAACAATTGTTGCCAATCTCCAGGTGAGGGCTACAGATTACTCACAATTACAACTGCTCTTCAGGTAGCAGAGATCAGTTCCTCTGGAGAAAACAGTGGACTCTGTCATTATACCCTGCTGAGGTCACCACAGCAAATTGACACTGTTTGCCCAAAGCCAGAGCACTGCCCCATAGCCTCTTTCTAGATCCCGTTGTATTGCTTTCACAACGGGCTTTACTGCTAGTTATATATATATGGCCAACAGAGGGCATCGGAACCCTACTAATGGATATTTTCCAAAGGGGTTCCAGAGAGCAAAACGTATAAATGCAGTCTCAGACCCACTGACAGAATTTAGGGGCCTAAAGGAAGAGGAGATTCATAGAGTCCTTCTACGGGAGTCCCAGCCTCAACTCCTTTTCCTCCCCCCCCCCCCCCGCAACACTTATGCTGCTATCTCTGAAGAAAAGGTGACGCGTGGCAAGATTCTCTCTCCCTTGATGCAGGCATCCTTGAGAATAAAAGTTGGTGTGTGTATCCAGGGAGGGCTGGGGCACAGGCTCCCTTCTTCCTCATGGTTAACTGCTAAGCTACATACCGTGTTTCCCCGAAAATAAGACACTGTCTTATATTTATTTTTTCTCAAGAAGACACACTAGGGTTTTACCACAAATGCATAGAAATCCTGCTAGGGCTTATTTTTGGGGTAGGTCTTATTTTCGGGAAAACAGGGTACTTATACCTGCCAAGTAGGCCTATACGTGGCCTGATGATAAAATATACCTGAATTTGCTCACTCTACATGCATATACATACCAATAAGTTTGGTGCCATGTGCTTAAACGTGTGCCTCAGAAAAGCCTTGTTCATATTTGCCATGTGGAGAATTGTATTTAACTGCTTAAGCCTCACCCTCTGCCGCTTACTGAGAGCCAGTTTGGTGTAGTGGTTAAATGCGCGGACTCTAATCTGGGAGAACCGGGTTTGATTCCCCACTCCTCCGCTTGCCGTAGTTCTGATAAGAGCTGTCCTTGAAAAAGAGCCGTTTCTGTCAAGAGTTCTCTCAGCCCCAAGAGTTCTCTCAGTGTCTGTTGTGGGGAGGGGAAGGGAAAGGAGTTTGTAAGCCGCTCTGAGGCTCCCTTGGGTAGTGAAGGGCAGGGTATAAATCCAATCTCTTCTTCTTCTTCTTATGTCCTCAGTGGCTGTGGATCGGCTGCCCAGTTTCCTTGCCGCCCCAAATACCAGCGATGGGTGTCCTTTGCCTCATCATCAGTGCTCCATCCACCTGAACTGTGAGGACATGGACACGCTGCACCAGGCCTTTGAGGATGTCTCTCAAGGGAGACCCTCTAGCAGGTACGACTGGGAACTTCAATCCTGCACAGAATAGTTGGCACAGGTGAGCAGAAGAGGGGGTGCTTGACATTCCTCCTCACCAGGCTGTGAAATCAACAAAGGGGGAAGAGTGGTTAAAGCTGTCTGGGTTCCCTTGAAACTGCTGTGAGTAGCCCATGCTTCCTGTGGCTCTACAGGGCTGCTTTCACTGAATGATGACAAGATTAGAAAAGTCAAGCCCACACATTCTCACTTCCAGCACTACCCCAGCACACGAATCAGAGGCTTCTCTGTGTCTGTGTGTGTGGGGGGGGTTTGTCCTGCAGGGTGTTGTTGAAACCCAAGGAGTGACCCACTGCAAAAAGAGAGAAGATTTGCAAGTGCAGGGGAGCCCTGAACAGTAAGAAGAAGCCAGACTGCTAACATATCTCTCATCTCTGGGCCTTGCCGTGATACAATCGTGGTCTAATGAGATAAGACTCATGTTCCAGCAAAACAAATGGATATTGTCACGTTCCTCCCCAGTGTATTTATAATCCTGAGAGTGCTGTGGGAAATTCTCTTTTCCTGCTCACATGCCGTTTCATTAGCTAGGGGAGCCACCAGAGTGTCTAGCAACCCTGTGCTCCTGGGATGAGCGTTGCACAGACACCCTCATTGAAATGCATTGCCTACTTGCATCGGTGCTGCCTGATCTCTGTCGCTTCCTCCTTGTAGCAAGAAAGGGCTTTGTGTCTCCTTACCCCCTTCCTCCCCCCCCCCCCCACATTAAAAAAAATTGAAATCCCTCCTGTCAATAACCTTGACTTCCTGCCTGCTATCACTTCCATTGGATGGAAAGGAAATTAACACTTCCATGAATACGTTTCAGAAATAAGATCCTCTGCATGGATCATTTACTCTTTTGTCTGGTGCTGTGCTTTGTAATTTTAACATACCTTGTTCTCTTCTCCCCACCCTTTCTTCTACTTGTAGTTTTCAGTATGTGTATCTCTTTCAACAAGATGCAACACTTCATGCATCTGATGGAGAGGGCTCTGACAGACACAAAAGTTCATACCACAAGAACTTTGGTGGTCTTCAAGGTGCCACTTTGTTAGAGTTCAGTGAAACTCTCTCCCAAGCAAGCATGCATTGGATTGCACCTTTATAAGTAGTTTGTTTCCAACAGGGACCACTATGAAAAGCAAAGCAAGAATATCCGTCACAGCGCCTGCCCTGTTAAGAATCTGTATATTCAGTGATTTTTTTTTGAAGACCAGTCCTTAGAGGTGAAATGTTGCCCTGTCATAATATCCCTTTGCATGCTTTGGAAAAACTAATCCTGTGTGGTACTCTTATACCGTAATCCCCCCCCCTCAAAGCAAGGCTAATAGGAGTTTGAAGGGGGTGTGTGTGATTATATTGGAGAACTGATCTGGGGGTGGGGAAGTGCCTGTTGCCTTGATCCTATTTCAGCTCTTCTGTATCATGTCTGCCTTGGCCCTCGGGATGCCTTTTGTTGTGCTAGGGACCGTCTGTCACCATCAGGACCGTTGTCAGAGCAGAGCCAGCCCTCTTAGCTCACTGCGGTAGCTAAAGGAAGAGTGAAGCAGAAGTGATGCCGGAGGCTGCAACAAGCGCTGCACCTCTTTGTCTGATTTCAGGCCGGTGATTGAACTGTGCATCCCATCTGCCCTGGATCCCACTCTGGCTCCCCCTGGCTGCCATGTGGTCTCTCTCTTCACTCAGTACACCCCTTACACACTGGCCGGAGGGAGGCAGTGGAATGATCAAGAGCGTGATGCCTACGCTGACCGAGGTACGACCACCGACTGTGGGGCAGCAGGAGTGGTGTGTGTCTTGCACTACTTTAGGGATGAGGGAGCGGGATCTTCTAGTCCCAGGAAGGGTCCCTAGGGTCATGTTTCCCGTTTGACTTACAAAACCTGCTACGATATGGGAAGATGTGCACATGCACATACGTAACAACTTCCCCCACTTAGATCCTCTGCGCACACAGACATAACCCCTGGCTTTATATCGGTAGCTCCATTGAAATAGAAAGAACCCACCGTGGAATAAGAGCCGAAAAGAACAACACAAAAGAGAAGAACTCCGCTGCTTGGGTGCCTGGTAGGCATTCACACACACCCCTTGCACTGTGGCCCTAGCTAGGTTTAAATGTCTCTGTAAACCGCTCCGAGCCCTCGGGAAGGAGCGGTATATAAATTGAATGTGTATGTATGTATGTATGTATGTATGCTTGCTCTTACATGCTTCTCTTTGGGGTGGGGTGGGAGAGTTTCAGCCATGATGCAGTTATATTTTGAGTTCATGCAATTCTGAGCACTGAAGAACCTTCGCCTGTCTGAAAGGCAGATGTTGAGTTGTTTGGTTCTGGGTGAGCCAACAACACCTTGCCTAGCTCCGGTTTCCATGTCACTGCCGGTGTCTTCTCCCCATAGTTTTTGATTGCATTGAGGCCTATGCCCCTGGGTTCAAGGCCTCCGTCATTGGCAGAGATGTTCTAACACCACCAGACCTTGAACGGATCTTCGGCTTGCCGGGCGGGGTATGTACTTCCTGAGAACCACAACCCACCGCCCACTCAGCATAGTCTGCTGCCATGAGCTCACACGGCAGCCTCGCCAGTGTGCCTAGCTGGTATGGCAAGGCTGGTCAAACCTCTGTCTTTATTAATTAAAGGGTATCTTCCCCTCCTGCTCCACACAGAGAATCTCCCTCCCTGTGCAGTTTGAGTTCCTTTGAGCTGCAAGACAGAGATGGTTCCCTGCCTCTGGGGGGAGTGCTCATCCAGTGCTGCCTCTGGTTTTTCAGAATATTTTTCACGGAGCGATGTCCTTAGACCAGCTGTATTTTGCCCGGCCTGTGCCCTCCTACTCTAGTTACCGGTCTCCAGTCCAAGGCCTGTACCTCTGTGGCAGCGGTGCTCATCCTGGTATGTGTCTGGCTGGGAGGGGATGGAGGGGATGTGTTTCTAACAACAAGGGAGGGGAGCCAATGCTCCCTCTCAGCTGTGGAGTCTTGTGAGCAAAAATTCCACTTTGTGAGCTAGTGGCATGAAAGTTGTGAGCGAGTGATTTGGCTACTGCATGAATTAGTTTGCTCTGGAGCCCTCCTTCCTGAGCTAAGACAAAAATGTGTGAGCTGGAGGCTAAAAAAACTGTGAGCTAGCTCACACTAGCTCAGCTTAGAGGGAACACTGGAGGGGACCCGGCCTGAAGGTGGCAGACTCTGTTATGGCAGACTCTGGAGGAGGGAGCGAAGGCTGCACCGGGTTCCTGGGTCATGCCTCCCTAAGATGTCTGGCTAGAAGCAGCAGTGCTCAGGAAGGAGTTCCACTCCCTGTAAGGTAACTGGAGCTGTTCATCAGGCTCTTATCTGGTAAGAATGCAGCAATAAGGTCTCCCTTTCAGGGGCCTTTGCCTAAGGGCAGAACACAGCCTAGGCATTCAGCTTCGGAGCAGTAACCCCCTCCCCTGCTCTAATTCTGTGCCCTCAGAGCTGCTGTCCAGATGG